CCCCCCCCGTAGGAAAACGTGGCAGCCTCAGGCACACCCCTTCCTCACTCAAGAAAAAGGAGGGGGCAGGAGGGGAGAGAGATAGTAAAACCTGTAAAAGTCTGAAAGCTAAGTCGTAAAACAATAAAAAAATCAGGAAGGTGTTTAACAGATAGATAAGGAGGAGTAGAAACAGGAAGGGTAAAGTGAAGAACCCAGTGTTTGGGCAAAGAACGATGTTAAATACAGAAAAACTTTCAAGGTTAAAAACTGAACTCTAACAAAAAGGAGTGAAGTTCAAATAAAATAGAAAGGAACATAGAAATACGAGAGGGATAATGTTAGAAGTGACACAAAGACATTTCAGTCTTCAGTAAGTTAATGTTCTGACTATTTTGTATAATTTGTACAATAAAGATTTTTATAAGAAAAAGAAACTATAAGGTGTAAATCAACCTTGTAGTTACATTCACTTGAATCGCCCTTATCTTATCCCCAATACGCCAAAGAATTCTAAAGCATCTATCTAGACTTTTTTTTCATTTGTGTCACAACAAAGGATAAATTCAAATTGAGCACTTTAGAAAGCTTCCTGGGTATTCTTATATGAAGAACATACAGTTCTTACATGCTTTAGAAAAACCCTAAAAGCCTAATTCTTTTTACGGATACCCCCTAAGACCCCATTATTTTATTTGTCAAAATGACTGCTATGACCCAGTAGCATCAGACCGGATTTAAATATTTGGAGACAATACCAGACACATATCTTAGTGAAATAAAATTGGCAATACAAATTTCTGGTTTTTCTGTACAACATAATACACCATCTGCAGACAGTGGCATGCTGTGCTCTGTTCCACCCTTAGCCCCAATACCTCTCTTTTTCCCCCTAGAATTTCTAATATACAGAAGGGAGGGAGGGAGGGAATGAACATTTTCTCCCAAATTTTCTCCCAATCTATACTCATGGCTTTGATTTTTTATTTTTCCTAATCACCCAGTCATAGGACATTGCTCCAGCTTTTCAAGATTTGAATCTTGATTCTGTCCTCTAAGGGGATTTCCATCCATCTTTGTGTCATCCACAAATCTGAAAATCATATTTTCTATGAAGTATGTGAAGACAATTAAGGAAAACAAAAAAAGGAAAAGGAAATACATTGTTATCTTCTTGAACTTCTTTGGTATAATCTGGAAAAAAGCATAATCTAAGACTTTTTATCTCCAATTTAGTTACTCAAACCAGTTGGACCTTCTGTAAAATATCATCCCGCATAGCAAATCTGATGATTATCAGATGCATGAAAAAAAAAGGCTGGAATAAAATGAACTTCTCAGTATCCACCTGACAGTTTTCAGGCAAAGACAATAATCGGTATTCCATCAAGTATCTGGACTTTGTCAATTTCTTCTGGAATTTGAATCACACATAATTTGAGGGAGATGTTTCCAGGGAGATTTTGTCCTGAAGAATCTTATCAGCCTTCAGTACATCAGTTGTAGGTGTAACCCCTGTCTTCACACCGTCCTGCAGTTGACAGGTGCGGCCAGCCTGGTACTTATAACGTCAGTTGTAGCTTTTATATCCTTTCTCTCTCATCTCCAGAAGAACAGCCATCGTCCTCTTTCACAGGAGCAGCTGAAACTGTTGTCTATGAAGGGAACACCTTTAGGTGTCTCTGAGACAAATAACAAACAGGCTCTCTCCAATAAGCAAAGTAAAAAAAAAAAATCCTTTTGTCCATGTTCTCCATATTAGCACCAGAGGAACTAAAATTAAGTGATTATCAGAATTAAACTATCACATGGAGAGCTGAAGAATGCTGATACCTATACAACTACAGCACTATCTTGAATCGAAGTCCAAAACTGATTTGGTGAAGGTGGTTGTAATGGATCTTGCAAACTTTTCTTCCTTTCAAACATTATAGGAGGAGAGACTTGTTTGTCTATGGTAGCAAAACATCAGGAATCTGGCAGCACCTTTTCCAAGTACCATAAGCTTATGGCTTTTAATAACATTTTTGGGTCAAAATGTGTGTTACTAGACTCCTGATTTTTTCCCTTCCTTTCAGCATGCATCACTATGCTTCTAAAACTTTTCCCACAATCTACAAACATTGTTTAGTAGCCTTGCCTCCTCCAATGTCTGGTGCATTGTCACTTCATTGCCTGCCTTCATGGAAATTATTTTGCTCTTATTTTTATTTTATTCTGACAGCCCAGATACACCGAATCCCTAGATAGCATCACATTCCACAATCAAACCAATATGTTAAGATACTGATTTATGTTTTAGCTTAACCTTTGTTTCTTTTTTCTTTCCCCCTGTACACGTACCCAATTACATATGCACAACACACCTATCATTTTGGATTTAGGAAACCCTTGTCATATTGACCATGCCATGGCATGCACTAAAAACTTCACAGGTACGGAAGACAACAGCAAACCCCTCAGCAGTTCCTTATGACATACCAACCACACAGGGCCAAATACATAAGATTTAAAAGTAAAATGTCAAGGTTACCTTAATTTATATGAAATTAGGCTGGAGGAACTCTCCGAATGCTCATCTTCAAAGAATTCTTCTCGTCCTTCATAAGTGAACTGATTATATGGCAAATAGAGAGGTGCTGATTTGGCAGATGGTGACTGTGAAGCTTCGGTTTGTGAGGTGGAAGGACCTGGTTGCTGGCTATCATGAATTTTCATATCATTGTGCTCCGAGACTTTAGATAATATTCTATCAATGGTTTTGAAATAAGGCCAATCAGGCGCCAAGGTTTCACTATCAGTCATGCATTTTAATTTCCTGTGATGATAAAAACACAATCATGTATGCAAATGCAAATAAAGGAGACTTGCCATAAAATACAGCATCTTATAACTAATAGAATTTTAGTACGCAAGACCCTTTATCTAGTCCAACCTGCACCCTTAAAAGACATGGCACCGCTATGAGTGCTTGTCGCTAGAAATCAAAAGTTTCAACCTTATATGCCTTCTCTTCAGGTTTGTCTCAGACAACAGATAAAAGAGGTAATACTTATCCAGGCAGAGTGGCTTTTTCTTAGGTAAAAAAAAATAACACGTTCAGTCAATTCTATTCTTTCCAGATCCCACTGGCAAAGCCTTTGAGAAACTGGGACATTGTCCTACCTTGCCCTCTAGGACTGCCAATGGGAAAGTCAAAGGGGGCTGTAGTAAATGTGCATCAGGAACTAGGATAGTCAGGTCAACCTAAGAAGTCCACATGAGAGTTACTTTGATTTGTCAGCCTCCTTGGAGATTGACGTAATTCTGGTGGATGCCCTAGATCTGCAATCCATTGCTGAATCCCTTCCTTGGCCTTCTCTACCAGAACCCCAGAGCTGAGCAGTTGGTTGTACTTTCCTACCCTTGGGATCTACTCTTACTGGGAGACCTCCTTTTGGAGAGAGATTGGAACCTCAATCTCATGCAAAGAGCTTCAGTTCTAGGCTGGCCAGCCTCCAGTCCCCATGCTACTTAGGAATGCCTCTGGGTGCTTCAAAGGGGATCTTTTTTTAAAAAGCTGATTGTTCCTTTTTGTAGTCAGCCAAAAGTTGGGCCTAATTGTTCCCATACAAGAGTTGTTTTCCTGCTTCTGCAACAAATCCTTTGAATGCAGCACGAAATCCTAGATTTCAATGAACATTTAAAATGGCTGCCAAGCTCTTTTGGGCTAAAAGGGTGGTATCATTTATCTGCAGTTTTCTTCCTGAAGGATTAGAAAACCACTCCAAAATATTTAAAGGTGATCACTTGTTCTATAACCTGGTTATAGACTCACCATCCAGGAGTCTTAATCCTACTGGAGAATACCATGATTCTTGTTTTTTTCATGATACCTAGCTCCTCGTCCTTGCAATATTGTCCCAAGGCCTTGAGAGCTCTCCTAGGTCTTGTTTGGGCCATTGGTAGAATAATAGCACTGTCCACCTACGTGTTTATCAGCCACTTTTGGCAAGGGCTGGTTATTGCTTTGTTAGCAAATTTATTTTAAACATAACATTTTGCCAATACCCTATTTAACCCCTTTTCATCCTTGTAATGGAACTAGAGACAGCCAGCCCAGCTGCATCTCATTCAGGGGCAGGTGTTATTATACAGCTTATACAGGCGGTCCTCGTTTAATAACCTCTCATTCAGCAACTGTTTGAGCTTACAATAGTGCTGAATGAGTGGTAGTTACGATTGGTCCTTGAAGTTCTGGCAGTTGCAGTGCCCCCGTGGTCATGTGCTTGTGATCCAGGCACTTGGCAACTGGCCTGGATTTCTGACCCCTGCAGCATGCTGTGGTCACATGATTGCAATTTGTAACCTGCCCTGCTGACTTGGGGAAGTCAATGGGGAAGCCAGCAGGAAGTTGAAAGTTGTAGTCATGTGAGGTCCTCACTTAACAATGGCAACCAGGGGCTGACAGAACTGCTGTCGCTAAGCAGCATGGTCACATGACATTGTACTTTAGGATTGCATCACCTAGCAATGGAAATTCCAGTCCCAATTGCCATTGTTAAGCAAGGACTACCTGTAAACCAGTAACAAGTATCATGTGTCAAAGGAGGGGCTCCTTAACTTCTCTGATAAAAGACTCTTAACATTTTATTTATTTCAATTAATTGACTCACTGTGGTTTACAGCAAAATCGTAAAATATCCACAGTAACAGGACTCAAACAAATGCAGCATTAAAAGATCCTTGGTAGATTTACAAATAAAATATTTAAAACATTTAAGATGTGAAACAATAATAAAAAAACTGATGGTGTCAATACACTAGAGAAAACGCCTAGGAAGAGCTCCATCCTCCTGAAAGTTGTCAGGGAGGAGTGAACCTGAGGCAACAGCCCTCAAAACTTTCCTTCAAGTTTATCCTGTTGGTTGGGAGAATGTGCTGCGGGAGGGACCTAAGAGCCAAGCCAGGAACGTGCACTTTAGGCTGTACTCAGAAACCATTCAGGACCCAATGGAGGGCAAACTACACATGTGATGTGTGGTTGAGGGCAGGTGCCATCAGAACCTGGACCACTGCATTCTGGACCAACTGTAATTTCTAAGTAGTCTTCAAAGGCAGAGTGTAGAGGGCATTGTGCCAGTCCAGTCTTGTGATGACAGTGGCATCTGTAGCCAGGTCCTCAGACCCCAGATAAGGTTGTAAAAGGCACACCAGTCTGCCTTTGTTGGGCAAGGCCCCTTGGGCCACAGCTTCCCCCTGCTGGTTTAGCCAGAGCCATAGGTCCAAGAGGACATCCAATCACAGACTTGGTAGACAACACTGGAGGCTTACGAGAACCTTCTTGTATCAACAGTACCTCCATCTTACTTGGGATTAACTGCAGCCCACTTCTGTCCCGTCCAGACACGTACAGCTTCAAGACATCAACAACCTCCATAGCATCTCCAGTCAGACCTGGGGGGTGAGGGGTGATATAAGGTTGGGTATCATCAAGCATACTAATGATACCACACCCTGAACTGTTGAATGACCTCTCCCAGTAGCTTCATGAAAATGTTAAAGAGTAGAGAGGATCACCTCTCTGCAAGTGAGTGACCAAAAGGGCAACCTCTCCTTCCCCATGTCCAGCAACTGGAACTGGCCACTGAGGAAGGAACTGAATTGCTGTACAAATGTGTCCTCAATCCCCAGCCCCTGAAGGCAGTTCATAAAGACTCCTCCATCAAAGGCCAGTGAAAGGTTAAAAAGATCTGGAGAGGTGCACTCCCCAAGGAGTGCAAATCCTGGTTTTGAAAAAGGTAATCCAGTAGGGAGACCAATATGTCTTAGTCCATGAAACCATCTGAAATCTGACTGAAAAGCTATAAAGGAAACAGGGAATGGCCTTGAAGGACAGGAGAAAGAGCCACTACCAAGGCAATGGTCAGATAAGCAAACTTGAGCCCAGACCAAGAAATGAGTTTGAGTAAACTTCCCAGACAGGATCCTCCCTGGTTCATAGAAGGACAAAGTGAGGGAGGGGGGAAGCACATTCAGACTTGCAAGATTTTGTTACTTACAGCTGTTACAATAAAAGTAGTCCTGGCCTTGGTTTCTTAGTCTGGTCTACCTTGTAGGGCTAACAAAAGCATATAGATATTTTTATATATATAGGGTGCTCTATAGCTGAGTCATCACTACTATCTCAATAACATTTTCCAAAAAGGGAAGGTTGGAGACCAGTTCATAGTTGTTAAGACAGACTGTGTCTGTCTCTTCAGAAGGGGGTGCACCTCAGCCTCTTTCAAGGCCACTGGTAATCTCCACCCAAAGAGAAGTGTTAACAATCTCCTGGATCCACCCAAGCCACCAAACAAGCTAAGAAAGGAGTGGGTCAAGGCCACAGGTGGTGGAGATCATGCCTCCAGAGAGCTTCCTATCTACTTCCTTGGTGTCCATAAACTAGAAGAAATCTCAGATAGTGTAGTCAGAAATTGCTCCTGTCATCAGCAATGTCTGTCCATAGCAAAAGAGTGGTGATCATCTCTATCCAGATCAATTCTCAACCACTCTGAAAGAAAAACAAGGTTTAACATGTGCATCATATGGGTCCAGCCTGAGATTACTTGAGACAAGTAATGGTTGCCATGAATTCCTGAGCTCTTCCAGCTCCCAGGGTATGCATGTTGAAGTCTCCCCAAATTAAAAAATGGGGGGGGGGTCTCCAACACCAGACCTGAGACCACATTGGAGAACCTGGGAAGGGATTCCCCTGGGCAGCAGGGTGGAATGGCTTATTTCTTTCTTTTCTCAGTTCAACTGGATATGGTTGCCATCTCTGTCATGCAAAATAATTCAGACAATTCAGACAGGGTGCTTCAAGCTGGCAATTGCCACCTTGGCTGGTCCCCTTTGAATTAAACACTCACACACACAGCCATCCATCTTCCATCTGGACATCACTTTGCACTCTCCCTGCTAGAAAAGTGCTGAATGAATAGCCACCTTGAAGTCCTAAAAGGCTGCACATAAGATTTTGTATTGCGGGCCTATTTTTTGGCCAAATGCTATAATGCCAGGCAGCGATTGATCATAGATCTCCTCTCCCTGGCCTCCTCCATGAGGTTTCCTGCTCCTTCCTGTAGTTTCCAGGACAAGCAATTGTGTATGTTATCAACTGAAAGAGAATGGGTCGACCAAGCGTATCAAAGTCAGATCTACCTATCAGAAGTTGTAAAGCTGTTTTTGTTTTAATGTGTGCGTATAACTTTATTGCACTCACTGACCAGTCACATGGGGCAAAAAGACAAAGCAACATGAAAAACTTATTTTACATGGTTATAAAATTATAAAAGTTAAGACGCTATATTCCTGCATAAAGCAACGGCAGCTCTTCTGAAGATGTCAAGGTTCTAGTCTGATAATAAAAAGCAAGTTAAATCATCCTCAGAACGGGCAGAATGTCGGGTGGCAAGTGGCACATGCAGGACAAGTTACTACAGAAAAGACCCTGAAGGCCCTTGTTGGCTGGTTTCCTCCAACTTGCAGGTCAGATTCATTCTGCACAAGGGGATTGTTAGACCTCTCCTGCAGAGGACAAGACCTTAAAGGGCACCCAAGAGAACATGTTGGACAGGAGATACGGAAAGGGTGGTCATTGGCTGACACAAAGCGTGTTTCCTGTTGATATTCTGCCAGTATTGGTTACCTAGATCTACAGTATCTGGAGAGCTATCTTGAACATCTGCTGCTAATTTTATGAACCTGTTACAGACTACCAAACATTTTTAAGTGCAATTCCAAGGACAAACTTGCAGTTTCAAGAGCATCTGTGCCATATAAATATACAATTGAATTAATGCAAAAGTTATATC